TTCTTTGGCAGCCTGCTGGCGGAGTAGTGGTGTTGGTGCATTCAGTCATTCTTAAACTCACTTTGAAGGAAGATGTGTGGACAGGCCAATCCTGTGACTTCTCCATTGCAGAACAAGTTGGGGCACCAGTCCTGCAACAAATGTCACATCTGTTTATAACCTTAGTGAAACATTGCCAGATAGAAGAAGCTTGGCAGCTGGAGGGAAGGACTGGGAGCCAAACAGTTAAAGTACTTTGAAGAGTCTCACACAAAAAACTAGAACTCATAAGCATACATTAAATAAGACAGACAGGAATACTCACAGATGCCTGGTATGTTCCCTTTATCCCACCTTCAGTCTTGTAGCATGCTTTCTGTTTCCTCTGCATGGTTTTACACACTTGGCTTAGCACCATGGGCTAATGATGCTCTTTGTGTAAACTTCCCTCAGGATACCAAGAGTGGAAATCTGAATGGGCTTTCTGATCTGAAATCTGAGCAGGAGCTAATGATGCTAACTGTATCAACTCTAACATTAAATGGATACTGGGCAGAAGGGAGGGGAGCAGTAACAGCACCTAAGAGAGCCATGCTGGTGCACTGGGGATAGAGGTTGGGGCAGCTGTGCGGAGGGGAGGCAAGACACCCCTAAAAGGTGTTTACATTTTTTTTTTTTTGCAGAACTTTGTGATCTGGTGAGTTTGTAGGGCCCCTTTCTTCTTTGATTTGCTACAGTCTCTTCTCATTAAAGGTTTGGACACAGCACATTTACATCAGTTCAATCAGACTTTACATCAATGTAGACAAATAACAGACATGTGATATGGAATTGCCCTGGTAAAAAACAGAGGTAAAACTACTCTGGCATTGTATCCCCAGACCTATCCTAGCACTATAAGTAAAATGGCTATTAATTTTTCCTCTGCTACTTTTGGAAAGGCTCTTTTAGAGCACCAACTGCAAGCAGCTATGCTGAAGTAGCAGGTCCTCTGTCCACTATAATTCCTGGTTTAATTTACACTGATGAACAAAAGTGATATAAATTACACCAGTGTAAAGGTGCTGTGTGTCCAAACCTTGACTGTAGTACCAGAAGGGCTAAAGGAGTTGAGTTTTCTAAGCTAATTGAGCTAATCTTACTCTTTTGGAATGCAGGATGGCATCTAGCCCTGGACTAGCATGCCATACAACAGTGTCATCTGTTGGATTGGCTCTATTGGTGCAACACAGCTAAATGTATCTTACTGTGAGGAATTTTTGAAGATAAAATCATTTGTAATTGGAGCAAATGATCTTCCTTTGTGGGAGCTGAACTGTTTCTGTGTGAGACAAGAGTGAGGGTTCCCCCCTGGGTGTTGAGGTTCTGAGTACGTGTGATGTGTTTCAGGCTGCCACCTCACATCTTCATCTCCGTTGTCTAATAAAATCTAGGGAGGGAGCACAACAAAGACTACAAACGTGATTAGAAACAACACCCTTAAATCTACTGTTTAAAAATTCAGTTTATTTATACTTGGTAAGACCTTACATCTTAGCAAGGAGCAGCAATTAGATAAACTCTGGCTGAATTTCCACCCTGGCCTGTATATATATAGTCACAGATCCATTAAAGATGATGGAGTCACACCCACTTACACTACATCTGAACTTTACCTGAGGAATGGGAATACAATAATTTTCACATGCCTATGCCAAATATATGCTACGTGCTTGTGGTTTTTTCCCAAAACACATAAACAGGGATGGCCTCTCACACATTCCCATCCAGTGAATCATTTCCACTAAAGTTGGTCTCCAGATAAAAAAAGAAAATAAACAAAGCATGACGTAACTTTATAATTAAAAAAATTATCATATACGTGGGGACCATTTATAGGCTTTCCATTTCCATATCCTTTTCTCAAATGCAGTGCAAAGGGAACATGCCTGATGTTATTACCTCTGCAGACTCAGCCTGTTCTGGGTGATGTAGATTATTTCAGCTAGGAGAAGAAAGTGGAGATGTAGTAAGGTATTTGTGTCTTGTGTAAGGCAGAAGAAAACAACAGAATTTCTTGGCTTCAGTCACCATTAACTCACTCTGTGCTTTTGCTTGCTTCCCTTTTGGCCATACATCCTCTAGCATGTAGTCCAAATTCGTGATCAGATTCTGAGGTGTTTTTGTTTCAGGCAGTGACATGTACTTATATTTTGACTCAGAGCACCCTCTTTTTCCTTTCAATTAACCTGGACAAAGGGCAGTTATTACACTGGTGAGTGCCAGCAAGGTTTAAACCAACCTGTAATAGTGTAAAACCAAATTTTAAAAAAGTATGGATGCATTGATTGCTGTGGATTCTGGTTATTATGGGACTGATCCAGCAAGGGGTTGTTGAGTATTTCTTGGGCCTCTGCAACATGTTATACGTAAGATGTAATTAACAAGTTAATTGTGTGTTAAATTGTGACCCAGTTACACATTTAATCAATTAATGGCATGATATTTCATAGATTTCATAGACATTAGGGCTGGAAGGGACCTCAGAAGATCATCGAGTCCAGCTCTCTGCCCAAAGGGCAGGAAGTCAGCTGCAGTCATAGGATCCCGGCAAGATAAGCATCCAATTTTCTCTTGAAGGTGTTCAATTTAGGTGCTTGAACCACCTCTGATGGCAGGCTGTTCCAGACCTTGAGGGCTCGGACAGTAAAGAAATTCTTCCTTATGTCCAGCCTGAAATGGTCTTGCAGTAGTTTATAACCATTCAAACTCATCATCCCTTGGGGTGCTCTGGTGAACAAACGTTCCCCCAGATATTGGTGGTCACCCCTGATAAACTTATAGGTGGCCATCAGGTCACCCCTGAGCCTGCGCTTTTCCAGGCTAAAGAGCCCCATGGCTCTCAGCCTGTTGTCATAAGGTCTGTTTTCCTGACCTCTGATCATGCACATGGCTCTTCTCTGGACTCTCTCAAGCTTCTCCACATCCTTTTTGAATTGTGGGGCTCAAAACTGGACACAGTACTCCAGCTGTGGCCTCACCAAGGCCAAGTACAAGGGGAGAATGGCATCCTGGGATTTGCTTGAGAAGCATCTATGGATGCAAGCCAGCGTTTTGCTCGCTTTACTAGCCGCAGCATTGCATTTCAGGCTCACGTACATTTTGTGGTCAATGATGACCCCCAAGTCTCTTTCTTCCATAGTGCTAGCCAGTGTAGCACTGCCGAGCCTATAAGGATGCTGCAGGTTTTTCCTCCCAAGGTGGAGAACCTTGCATTTTTCAGTGTTAAACGCCATCAGGTTCTCTTCTGCCCATTTAATGAGCCTGTCCAGGTCAGCCTGGATCACCCACCTGTCTTCAGGTGTGGATGCTTTGCCCCAAAGTTTGGTGTTATTGGCGAACGTGGCCAGTCCGCTTCTGACTCCAATGTCCACATCATTAATGAAGATGTTGAACAATATGGGTCCAAGTACAGAGCCTTGGGGGACCCCTCTGGTCACAGGGCACCATGACGATTGACTTCTGTCAATTAGCACCCTCTGGGTCTGACCACCGAGCCAATTTCCCAGCCAGTGGATTGTGGTGGACCCAAGGCCACAATTGGCCAGTTTCTCCAAGAGGTGATCATGGGATACCAGACTGAAGGCTTTTTTGAAGTCAAGATATAGGACATCAATCTCTTCTCCCTTGTCCAGATGATAGGTCACCTGGTCATAAAAGGAAATTAGATTGGTCAAGCAAGACCTACCCGCAACAAACCCAAACAAAGAATACTGTACCAAAGTTAACAAATAGCCGTTACTGAACCAAATGCAGCCCTGTCTACAAAGAAAATGAATTTCTTCTCCACATACTAATTAGTAATGGACGATGATGGGTGTTAAAAGTCTGTAACTAAGATACTCACATATTTTTGTGATGGGGCATTGCTGCTAGCTCCACCCACATAGTAATGATAAAAAAAGGAATAAGCCACAAAGTTATTCCACAAAAAATGTATTACAACTTTGTGGCTGGTTCCTATCATGCCACTAATTGAATGTGTGTCCAGGTGCGCCCTTGAGCCTGGGAATCTGCAGTTGATGGGAAGCACCATGTGCCCCTGTAGCTGGGAGCCCCGTCAGCTGTAGGCTTTTATCTTCATACATCTCCATGACTGGGAACCTGGGTCAGGTGACCCCTGCATTGGCAATAAGGTGTGATAGGGTCTGATTCCAAGGTGTGATAGGGTCTGATTCCTGGTCCTACAATCATGCGTGCGTGGCAGGAAACATTACTGTGTGGATCGCACATAAGATCCCATTGCACCTTTACCTGAATGTCTGGAAGGGACCTTGCAAAACATGGAATGCATTCACTACCTACTATTTAGCACTTTATGGAGTTAGGCCTTACAGCCAAGATTTAAAAAAAAAATGTTGGTACTTTCATTTCTGGATGCCCAAATTAACACCTTGATGAAGGTGCCCATTTTTCGTAGGGTGGCTTCGCAACACTTTCTGAAAAAAATCAGACCTCTGTGAGCCATCTTGACCCCAAAACACTAGTCTCATTTGCCATTCTTGGCCTAAAAGGATCAATAAATAACATGAGTATAATGCAGCATAGCCTACTTTATTCAGTCTTGTTACATGCATCTTCTTGGTTACAGTATGCATTAAGGGTAAATTTCACTCCCATGCACAGGTCTACCTCAGGGCATATGCTGCACTGTAGACATCAAAATAATGTTTATGCTAAGTTTCATTTGCACATCAATTTTGTGCTGAGTCACAGCACGGGGTGTGTTTCACTCTGAGTGAAGGCTTCTTTGTCTGTAATCAATGCAGTTGTTATATGCAGTCTTGAGTGATTTGAAGTTACTGGAAAGAATTACTTTAGAATATACAGCCTTATTTTAATGTTATATTTATAGGCAGCCATTGGGATCTAGAGAACCGTGCTGAGTAAGTTCTGGGTAGAAACATTTCCACACCTTTCTGCTGACCTGTCACTTGCCATATTGCCTACTCATGCACTTTTATCTCTGCTTATCTTTACAGAAAGCACTGACAGGGGTGGATGATCTGCGACAGGTGAAGGCCCTAGAGATGCGTGTAGACACAAGAGAGAACAGCTTGGGAAACTTTGGTGAGAAAACATTGTCTTTTACTACCTCTTAACTTTTCATTTATCATTTCTTAGAGGAGAAGCACTCTGAATATTAGGAATGGAAGCTGAGAAAAAGATGGAAACAGTCTTGCTAAAGATTGTCTTAAAGCACAAACATCTGGATGATTAATTAGCACTCTTCCTCCATGCTTTTTCCTGTGAAGAGACAAGTAGAACTATGAATATTCTGTGCAAATGGAATGAGTGATGCCAGTCCAGTTTAACTTCCGTTCAGTTCCTAGGCTTTTAGTAAGACAGTAAGTTTTCACTGAGCTTTTCCGCTTCTTGTTTTGCTGGCACCTTATGTCTGAATTTATTCTGCTAGGATGAATAACACTGCATTCAAAGGAAAACAAATAAGAGAATTCCAGTCTAGCTTAATTACCACTTTTTCTGGATCATATTCAGAGGAAATGTGAGCCAACTTCCAAATCCAAGGTGTAGCAAACAGTATTCAATTCCCATGGACTTTAAATTAGCATTTGTACAATACCTCAGTCCATTAAGGCTGTTTTGTGCTACTCCAGTTGCACAAAGCAGCCTAAATTCTGTTTAAGGGCCCAGTGGAGGATTTCATTTGTGAATAAGAAACCTCTGGTGGGATGGAGCCATCCTTTTGGGCTCTTCTGTATCTGGGAATAAGAGTGCAGGCTGGATGCCTTTCAGGCCACATGCAGTGGAGTGAAAGATGATGCAGTCCTGAAGTTGCTCTGCTTTATGGCCAAGAGGGTGGCTTAAAACCTCCTTCACCTTCCTATATATGGTCTTAGCCAAATTAAAGAATTTGGCCCCTTATTCTTCAGTTAGTCTGTGGAAATAAATGCACAAGAAAGGATTTCCTCTTGTACAGTAGCACAATCAGTTATAGTCACTGGCGAATCAAGGGACCAAAGCATATCTGCCACTTCACTGCTGTACAGATTGGAGGATCCTATGTTACCATGGTCTGGTTTCACTTCTGCATAATCAGTCAGTATTTGTATCTGATCCTTACTGGGTGCATCTTCACATGCATTTGATCTGGGCTCAGTTTACTTGGGTGTAAACTTCTGTGAATTAAGTGCTCCTGGGTAGGCATCTACACATGGAGGGACTAGGGAGAAGATTTGCTTCTCTTAGCACCAAACTTCCCGCAGCCCTGCAATGGACCCCTGCCACCACTGTGAGGAACACCAGGCTCCAGCACTCAGCAGCCCTCTTCAACAGACAACCCCACTCACTGCTCTTTGGCCAGCTACTTCCTTGTCCAGGAGCAGCCTACCCAGCACAGGGGCAGCATGTGGCAGCTTTCTCCTTGCCTACTCTGCCTCCCCATGCTATGGCTGCTCCAGCACCTGCCCCTGGCTGCAACAGCCAGTGCCCTGGTGTCCTGCTGGCTGCTGTGCTGGCCCTGCCATACCAACCACTGCCTGGCCTATGGCTGTCTTGCCCCACCTGGTTCCCCCCTGCCTCCTCCCACAGCAACCACTTTCCTGGGCACAATGTGGTCCCAGGGCCGCTGCCATGCAGTGGCTGCTGCCAGGGACACCATTGTGGAGCTTCTGGATGCCACTGCTGGGGCTGCTGGGGCCCTCCTGTACTTCCAGCCCCGCCACCTCTGGGCCCACCAGGCTAGCCAGGACTGGTGGTGGCATATCATCCAGGACACCTGGGATGATGAGCAGTAGCTGGAGGCCTTCGACATGAGGGCCACCTTCTGGGACCTTGTGAAGCAGCTCCAGCCATACCTGGAGCGACAGGACACTGGCATGTGGCCACCCCTCCCCATGGATACGCACCTGGCTCTCACCCTGTTCAAGCTGGCAATGCCTGCCAGCCTGTGGTATGTTGGCCACCTGTTTGGTGTGGGCAAGGCCACCACTAGGGAGGCTGTGCTGGAGGTGTGTGGTGCCCTGGGAGACACTGTGCTCCGCATGCATGACTCCCTGGTGGTGGTAGTAGGGTTCCATGACCTGGGATTTCCCCAGTGCATTGGGGCCCTGGATAGGACCCACATCCCCATCACCTGCTCACCTCAGAAAGATTGCCTCTATTACAGCCGGCGGGGGTTTCACTCTGTGGTGCTCCAGGCCATCAGGGACCGCCGTCGGGCCTTCATGAAAGTGCATGCAGGCTGCGTGGGCAGTGCCTACAATGTCTGCGTGTTTTGGAACTCTGGCTTGCTGGGCCAGCCACTTTGCAGGGTGCTGGACCTGCAGTGGGCACCATGGCCATCCCACCCCTCCTCAAAGGACACTGGCGCTCCCTCACTGCCTGCCTCTCATTCACCAAGCAGAACCTCCCCTGGGCCATCATTGCAGCCTGTGTGCTGCATAACATCTGTGATGCTTGGTTGGAGCTATTCCAGGAGGCCTGGGTGAAGAAGGCACAGCATGCAGAGAATGCCTGCAAGCAAGAGCACCACCTGCGGTGGCAGTGACAGTAGCAGGCCCCTCCCACCAAGGCTTTAGATGAGCCCCACACTCTCCAGCAGGGGTCAGGGCACCAGGTACGAGAGGCCCTGGCCAACCACCTCCTTCAGCACTCCTCGCTGTAGCCCATCTGCACCGTCGTTCACGGACCTTCCTCCCCCCGCCCATCCCAACACCACACTCACTGCAGGCACATCAGAAGAACAAGTTTTTATTCGTCTCACATCAAACAAAGCCTCTTCTCCCTCTCCCCTCCCTCCTCAACAAACAGAGCCCCTCCACCACCTAACCCACCCACTAACAATAAAACCTTCCCTGTGAAAACTATTTACAATGTCCTTTGTGGGTCATCACAGAGTGGGGGGCTGTGGGGTGGGGCACTTGGGGGGCAGAGCCAGGGGGCAGGCAACCAGCATGCCAGCATCTGGCTGTTCCCCTGCAGGTGCAGATGCCATGGGGCAATGGTGACTGATGCTCCCCTGGTGCAGGTGGTTCTCCTCTGGCAGATGGTGGCCAGGGCCAGCATGTGGTCCTGGCCCCATTGCAGGCAGCTCCAGTTGCTTGCCGGTGTAGAGCCAGGGTGAGTGGTGGGGCTGGGTGGCAATGGACCCAGGGCAAGGTCTGGAGCAGGGGCTCCTGGCTGCTGGAGGCAGTGCAGGACCTTCTGTCAGGCTGCTGCTGGACAGCAGGTGGCTGCCAGGAGGCAGATGGGGCTAGGGTCGGGGGCTGGGTAGCAAGTGGCATGAATGTGAGCTCCAGGGCCAGAACAGTGTCCAGCACCTGATGGTTGTCATCTGCAGCCTGCACTGCCTGGGCCACGATGGCATTCTGCTCCTGCAGAAGGTCCAGCCACTCATGCTTCAGGGCCAGGAGCTGTTCCCGGAACCCCCGGTTTTCCCAGTCCTGCACATCCTTGCGGGCGATGTCCTCCACGCACCAGGCCTGTGAGTCCTCCAGCCAATCCTCTGGCACTGCCACCAACATGCTGATTCTCATTATTGCCAAAAACAGCTCTTCCACCCTGCTTCAACACTGTAGCTATGGTAACATGCTATGTTCTTGCTCTCTGTACTTAGAATCCAACTCTAGGCACTTGATAGCAGGTTATTTTTAGTTAAGCAATGCATTTTCCTGCACAGTCCACTGAAGCCTGGGCATGGACCTTTAGTACACCATGGCCAGCCTTTGTAAGTAGGTCTTTTCTTTCGGCACAGATTTATTGTGAGTAGTGAAAGAAGTAAGATGGAGGGACAGTTGTCTTGATTTGTCCAGCCACTTCAATTTTTTCTCTTTTGGTTCACAGGTCTTTTCACAATATGCACCTGATAATTTAATGTATAATTACATCCCTTTTCTTCACAGTTCAGATTGTACTCAGGCTGATCTCCACAAGAAGCTACTAGTTCACAAGAAAACCCCTGTGTATGATTCCTACGTGTGCTTTTCAGTTCTAAAGCCAAGCTTCCATTCCACTCCAGCTCTATCCCAACTATACAGCTGGCCCAATAAAAGATATCACCCTAAGAAATCCTTGCCTTTCACATAATTTATGGACCATCACAGCTACAACATCACTCTTACACTACAACTTCCATTCCTATGTGGTTTTACATGAGAGATGATAAGATAGTTAACAGCCATTTATCCTCCATGCTTTTTGCTGAAGCGAGATTTTTTTCCAACCTGTAGCTCCTACCAGTGCCTGTTTCAGTCTTTGCTTTGCTGTCAGTTATTCTTCACAGAGATGATTGGTCAGGTCTTGGGGGCATATGTTAAAATGGGATCACCATGGCAGAGACCTCTTTTCCTTTCCCCTGCGTCCCCCTCACCTCATGTTTTTCTTTTCTTCCAAGTACTGAAATAACTTTGCTACTCTGCATTTCCCTCAGATAGGCTTCAGAGTACAGTGTGCTGCCCCTGACTCCATTCAGCTCATGTCTGATCATTTCTACCAAGAGCTGGCCTTTGGGGAGTACAAAAGCCCAGAACTGCATGGTGTCACTGGTTCAGAGACCTACAAAACATCAAGGCTTAATCTGAGCTTTTATTTTTCAAAAGTTTGTGTAAAAATACACACAAAAGTGACACCAGATGGCTAGAGTAAAAAGTTGGCCTGGGGATTGTCAGTAATTGTCATTGGTTATTCATAGTCTTACTTCACCTGACAGCTCTTCAAGGCTGGATATGGGACCAAGGTTTGTGTAGGCATCTCAGGAGAAGTTGCCTCTTTGGAGAGGGCAGTACCCAAAGTTTTCCAGTGAAGGTGCCAAACTCATTGCGAACACTGTCTAAGCTGCAACTGAAACAATCCTTTACTGAGCAGTTATTGGGTTAAAGATTTCTGCAGTTTAAACCCAGTTTTGATACTGACTTTCTGGCTTTTAAGTCACTTAGCCATTCTGCCATACCTTCCCTACTTGCATAACACAAGTAACACCCCTACCATCAAGAAATTATTCATTGCTATGATTATTTGAGGATGATAAAGTATTATTATTATTTTAAATTTTAAATAGTTGGGAGGTGCTCATATACTATAGTGAGATGAGTCATAGAAACCCCTAGATT